CAGAGTACCTTTGAATCTCATCGTCGAATAAAAATTTTCTTTTCTTATATTTTTATTATTTTATAAGGTTTATTCTAAAATTAACAAAATTATCAAAAAATTTTATTATATATTTCATCATTTAGTTCTGTTAATTATTATTATAAAACAAAAAAAATTATTTTGGTAAATTTAAACATTTTTGCATGCATAAATATTAATAATAAAATTTAAAATCACAAAAATAATACTTAAAAATTTTTTAAAAATTCAAAAAAAAAATTTTACTTGAACTGAATCAGTCAATGATTCGATCAACGTGTGGCTTGGTCCGATGGTTCAATCTGATTAGGTCAATTTGACATCAGCGGTTCAAGGATGGTCCAGTTTAGTTTGGATCGATTCAGTTGAACCAATTAGAAGTTGAAAGAGAAGAGGGGCACCGGGTCGGGTCATGAGTTGACACGTGAATCCTCAAGGGCTAAAACAACATCATTTTTATTTTTATTAAAACGTCATTGTTTTGGTTTTGACGGTTTATATAAAAAACCACATTTTTTAACTCATTTCTCCATTTCTTCACCAAAAAAAAAAAAAAAAAAAACAATCTCCCATCTCCTCTTTCAGACAAAACCTAAAAAGGCAAGCCGGTCGTCGTCGCCGCCGCCACTGGTCCCTAGTATCCATCATCGGTGATCAAAAAACTTTCAAAATTCACCCAATACTCCTCTCAGCTCCAGAATCCATATCTAAGCCTAGTTTGGCGAAAATAGGCTCCAAATGGCGTAGATCTAGCCTGGAAGGTTTGGCCAAATTTTTTTTATTTTTATGTTTGTGTTTTTTTTTTTATACTGGCGCTAAGTTCCCATACCTTGGGGACCATGGTTTTTGGTTCTTTTTTTTTTTTTTACAGAAAGCTTTTTTTTCTAAAATTTTTTTAGCAGTTATTTTTCGCTTTTGTAGAGCTTTTGATTTTTATTTTTTTTAATCCTTCGCTCTCCTCTTTTGTGTAGGTAATGAGTTCTATTTATAGAGCTTTTTGGGATTCAAATCTCAAATTTTTAAGCTGAATTCCATGCTGCTAAATTAGGTAAGGTATCAAGCGACTGCCAATAGTAGCGGTGGCTGGGATTTTGGACTTTCGGGAAGGTGCATTTAATACACTCATATTTTTGTCAAACTAAATCGGATAAGGAAAGAAGAAAAAGGAAAAAGGAAAAAGAAAAAAAATAGAAAAATAGAAAAAAAAAGAAAAAAATAAATAATACTAATAATAATAATAATACAAAATGGTGTTTACAAATACCATAGATCATTCTACCTTTTGGTATTGAATAATCATTGTTATATAGAACCTAATCTTCCACCTTTAATTTGTTGGATAAGTTAAATGTTTTCGAGTTGGTTCTTGGCTTGAACTTTTATATAATTTCAACTTATAAATGGTTCAGAATCCATTTTTTACAGATATTTAGCTAATATTGGAATAATTTCACTCATGATCCTAAATATTTGTTCCTCTCACAGGTGCTAATCAAGTATTTGTACTGGAGAAACCATGGAGAATGGAGGATTTTCATACACGTTTTTGAATCAAGTAATTCAGGTACTCATTGACTACAGGAACCTAATAATACAATGAGAAATGGAGTACCCAAGATGTTTTAAGTATAAATTTAATGGGGTAAAAGGAGAAGGGCATTACAAAAAGTCTCAAATTTCACCTTTTTGTTAATCTTACATGAACATAACCATATTGAATTTGACACGTAAACATTGATCAAGACAGGCCGAGGATCCAAACAGGGGAGAGGAGGACTGAATTCTGGCCCGATGCTGGTGCTCGGACAAAATTTTGTAACATGTTCTGTCATGGTTTCTGATTTCTGCCACCTTCTAAACTCATTTCATGTTATTTTGTTTCTTTGGTGCAACATGTTTTATATTTTCAGAGAACTAACAAACGTATACTCAAACTAAATATTTCATGCATGATCATGGTTTTAATCATGTTGACATATGAGACAGGATGGGATTCACGAAGTAGCAAGAATAATCTTCTGATATTAGTTTCTTATAGTCCAAGCACTTGAATTCAGGTTTTGCTGGCTTAAAATATTAGAGTTCTTTTCCTTTCAATCTTCTTCCTAGTTGCAGCTCCCAAGATCCTCAAATTTGTTCTTTCATGGTACGCTTGATTGTTGTATATTGAAGAGATAAGTAAGATACGTACACAAACCAGAATCAGTTGAAAATCTGTCAAAATGGCGCCATCCAATCAAACATAACGAAATCACCAAAGATTCCAGAGGCCTAAATTCACAAGAGCTAATCCTGAAGGCGACTGCATAAATACTACACTTAATAGATCCACATATACACAAATCAAAAAATCTCCTCTGCAAAGTAATCAATCAAGTTCTGTTTTTTCTTCCTTTGATCATTTCCCAAAATTTTAATTATGGGTATTTTCACTTACAAATATGAGGTTGCTACTTCAATCCCTCCAGCCAAGATGTTTAAGGCTTGTATCCTTGATGCCGACAAGCTCATTCCCAAGATTGTTCCCCTGGCTTTTAAGAGTGTTGAGTACATTGAAGGCAATGGTGAGCCTGGAAGCATCAAGAAGATTACCTTGGAGAAGGTTAGTTAATTTATGTAACTTAATACTTTGGATCATATATATATATATATTAAGCTTTTTTAGTATTTGTGAAAAAATAGTAACAATTTATATGCCTTTCCACATGCAGGAAGCCAATTCAATTACATGAAAGAGAAGGTAGAAACATTAGACAAAGACAATTTTGTCTACAGCTACAGTATAATAGAAGGTGATGCTTTGATGAACATAATGGAGAAAATTACTTACGAAACCAAGCTGGAACCCTTTCCGGCTGGGGGATCCATATGTAAGTCTACTAGTAAATATTACACCATTGGTGACTTAGAGATCACAGAAGAAGGAATCAAGGCCGGCAAAGAAAAAGCCTTGGGAATATTCAAGGCTGTTGAAGCCTACCTCCTGGCAAATCCTGATGCCTACTGAAAATCCCAATATCAATATAGCATCCACTTCAATGATAATCATAAATTTGACGTGGAATGCATTTGTGCGTGTATGAGGGAGTTCCTTTGACCCTTTAGTTTTGGAATTGTTGGTCCAGGTGACCTTCAGTTAGCTAATAAGCGGTCAAAATGTCATGACCAGCAGGAACCTTGTGCTATCGTGTTTCAATGTTTAGCAGTGCTAAATAAGCGAGAACCAAATATATTTACTATAAACTGTCTATTGCCAATGGCTTGGTGCATTATCTATTTGTCTTCATCTTTCAAGACTTACCAAATTATTGAGCACAGTGTGGTCAATTTTTTCTGAAGAAATGTCAAAGTTGCCAAACTATTTCTGCTAGAAATTCCTCAATTCTTCTTAGACATCCAACCTGCTTGCAAAACACCTAGTTTTTGGGGAATTTCAAATCCATGAAGTCTGAGCACCAGGAAAAAACATGGTCTCCATCATTGGACTTGATGCATGGTAGAAGGTTTAAGTTAAGAACTCTGAAAATTTACAAGTTACAGTTTTGAGACTCGGCAATAAATTTCAGATTTAGTTGAGAGACTAGGTAAGCAGATGGTGAATTCCCAATCTCCTCCCCAAGTTTTCAAATTGGACAAGTTGGTTTGAAAAAATCAGGATAATTAATCAAACCAAACTAATAAAATAGAATAATTTCTTTTTACTTGAAAGAGAGGATGAATTGTAGAAATTTGGGTCATGTCTGATGAACTCTGCTAGCTGAAAGATAATAATACACTGATAACTTCTTGTTGCCGGGTTGAAGCCTATTCTACAAACAACATCAAAGCCTAATTGTTAGACTAAGGCTGTTTTGGTAGGATACATAATATTGAAAGACAAAAATGTTATGAATCCGAGCTTAATTCAGTTAATTCATACAATTACTTAAGAGATGACATCCAGCAAGTATAAATTCAAATCCCATCATTTAAAAACCCTTTCCTATATTCTCAAGCTATGATCCATTTGTAAAAGTCTATACATATGATGTTAAGATTAGGAAGTCAGCAGCTTTAAGAGTTAGTCAACTTTGGCTAATAAAAAATTTTAATAATTTTTTCATAACGTTGCTTGGGACCATAAGACTTTGAACATTTCTACCTATTGAGCAAAAACCATATGAACACGCCATTTACTAGGTAAAAATTTCCTGTTTCTAAAATTTTGATCCATATTTCCAAGTCATTTAACAATACTGAACCCCTTTTTGTTTATTTCCTGCCAGCTTCTGTTAAACTAATTGTGAGTTTTAGCACTATACCAAGTCGAATTAATAACATTAACCATGCTAAGATTGAGACTAATCCTCACAAATATGATGGCAATGGCAACGCCAAACTTTCTCTACAGTCTTACTGCATTTCTTATAGCTTTGCTTAAGGGACCAAATTATGCTTTTTGCTTGCGCTTGGTGAATTATTCTGCAAAATGTTCTGTCATGATTTTTCATGTCTACCCTTAACCATCTTTCAAAGCAATGAGTTTGTTTCAAAATAAATTTCATTGATACTTTTAACATGTAGATATGAGAGAGTGGACTCTCCCATAGCAATAATCTGATGATGTGATTGCTTAAAAGTTTAAAAAATGCCGTCAGAAAAGTACCCAAATTCAAGGTTAATTGCAGACAAGGTCCATAAATTTGTTCCTTGCAGGCATAGCCTTGCTTGTTATAATATTCATGTTAGACAAAGACAGAAACAATTAAGCAATTTTGTTCTCATCTTTAAGGTGCTTTTCTATGTCTAGAAATACAATATTTGTTGTTAAAATATTTTGATTACCAAGTCATGATTGAACCAACTGAATATAAAATATGAAGAGCTCACCTAATTTCATCCACCAGGCTATATTTACAGAAGGTAACCTTCAAGCTCATCAGTCTATAAATACCACTCCTTCAGGTTCAAATATCTGCACCTCAAAATCTCTCCAAAAAATTAAGCAATCAATTCTCTCTTTCCAAAAACCATTTGGTCATCATGGGGCTTTTCACTTATGAAACTGAAATTGTTACAGCAATTCCCCCAGCCAAGATGTTTCAGGCTTTTGTCCTTGACGGTGACAAGCTCATCCCCAAGATTGTGCCCAAGGCATTTAAGAGCGTTGAATTCATTGAAGGAGATGGAGGGCCTGGCAGCATCAAGAAAATTACTTTTGGTGATGGTTAGTTCACGTGATTATCATTGAACTAAATGTTCGGGTCTGTACTTTTTGCTTTAAGTAACCATTGCTCTTTATTTGCCTTTTTCACATGCAGGGAGCCGGTTCAATTATGTGAAGCACAAGGTAGAAGCAGTAGACAAAGATAATTTTACATATTGTTACAGTGTGATTGAAGGTGATGCTCTGATGAACACACTTGAGAAAATCACTTACGAGACCAAATTGGAGCCCTCTCCTGATGGAGGTTCCATCTGCAAGAACATCAGCAAGTATTACACCATTGGTGATATTGAGATCAAGGAAGAAGAAATCAAGGCCGGCAAAGAAAAGGCCTTGGGATTATTCAAGGCTATTGAAGCCTATCTCCTAGCAAATCCTGACGCCTACTGAGAGATTAATGCCATTATTATTCAGCTAGTAATGTGTGTGAAAATGCATGTCTGCTTGTGAGAGAGATTTGGGAATAAGAGTTCAAAGTTTGTGATCAGTGAGCAATTTGTTTTGTATCAGTGAAAGTTGAAACTCAAAGTCAATTGAAACTGCAAAACAATGGAGTTATATATATATATATATATATATATATAGGAAATTATGTTGTGAAAAAGGTATCAATTTCTAATGATGGGTGTATCTTTTCTCATACAAACATTATCTTCTTTTTTTTTTTTGGAAATTTATCAAATAGTTTCCAACAGGGTCATCAATATTAATTAAGAAGAAATGACCAAAATTTTCTGCCTGAAATCCTTAAACCTTAGACAAGTAGTATTATTTTTTATTTATTTAAAAAAAATTCAAATCCATGTTAAATAAGTATAATACATCAATCATAAAATCAAATATTCGGATATAAATTTTAAATCAAGAAGCTAAAGCTTCACCAATGATCACGCACACTTTTAATTTTATTTTTTGCTCGGAGAAATTTGAAAGTTTCAACAATCAGGAAATTGAATTACAAACTTCAAATTCAATCTAAAAAAGAAACACCTTGATAATGGCATTACTAAGTGAAGTGGGAATGAATTCGTTCGATAAATTGATTGTTGATTGATCAGTTTGTTTAATTAATAATCATATTGCTGGACAAGGAAATACAAGACAAGTCATTCGAGAATTACACTAAAATTTTAAGTGATCGAGGATGTTAATATATTTCATATCATTGAATTTACATTTTTTTACTCATAAAAAAGTTGAATATCATTAAATCTATCTATGAGTTGGGTTTTGGATATAATTTTTTTAGTTTTGATCTTGCATGATTTGAGATGTTATTTTAATAATAAAATTTATCTTTTATTTAATTTTAATTTTAATTTGAAAATTAAAATTATCTATCCGGCCATATTCAAAGGTAATTGCAGCCTGCTTTTGCAATTTTTCTTGCCCGCCTTAGCCTGGCAAATTTATTGGTCTGCATTAAACTTGACACAGGTCAAGGTTGCACGGCTAGAAAATAAGGTAGATGCATAATTTTTCTACATTTGTCCTTAAGGCTTAAGCTCCCAAGCTTGTTTCTTCTAATTGCAAAATTACAAGTTGTCTGATGATAAAGTTTAAACAGAAAACCAAACGACTAATTAACAATCAATACAGGGTTGAGAAATGAACATCCTAAATGGACATCCTTTTTTTTCTCGTCCTTTTCCGGCATTTCTATTTTGGCATTGTAGAAAACAGAAAACAACTTATTGATGAATATGCCTTGATGGAACCTACTTATCACATTCCGAGACCAAAACATAACACGGTCATATTATTTTGAAGTAAAACCTGAAAGTAATATGAAATTTTTTTTCTTAATCATTTTAAAATTTTTCAATAAATTAATATAATTTGTCAAGTAAAATCAATATATTTAATCCAACTAATGATACATTTCTATATATCCAAATACAAATTATATAAAAATACAAAACCGTTTTATAAGATCTCATTGGCCAGCATTGTCTTCAACGACTAAATAATCTTTCTCATTTGATCTTCTAACTTTTCACAAAACTAAGAAAATATATTACTTACTCATCTATAAAGAAAAAGTAAAAAAAAAAATGAACAAATCACAGCTCAACAAGTATAGACTCACACACTTTACTAGATCAAGCATCGTTTTCATACATATTATATAGATCATTCAAAATATTCATCAAATCATAATATCAAAACATTTTCAAAATCATCATTATGTCAAATATTTCGTAAATTATAAATCAATATCAAAACATATCAATTCATAAATCATTGTAAAATATGCTGCCATTCAAATATCATAATCAAATCATTGATCAATCATTAAAACCATCATAAATCATCATTATCATAAATTATTAGTTCATCGTTAGTTTATCATTAGCTGCAGTCACTACTATAACCCATGACATTAGCCGTATCAATAATTTCATCACCATGATCATTGTTAACTATTACAACCCACTAGCCAAGGCTTTACACTAACTACTATAATCTGTTAGTCGGGCTTTATGATCATATGCTAACTACTATTACCCGTTAGTCAAAGCCATAGAACTAATTCTGATGTCGATGATCCCACTTCCCAGGGATATAAAAATGTAGCTATTATAAAATCATTCATTAAACATAAATCATTTTCTCATTTCATTCATAAGCGTAATCCATCATTTACATAGCAAAAACACAAAATAATCATATGCTTGGTCCTATTTTCATATATCGAAAATAATGAAATAAAATATTTATTCATTTAGAAACATACATATATACATAGGTTCGAAAACAAGTAAAGTGTATGAGATTTTACTTACTTCCTTTCTATTCCACTACTAAGTTTTTCCTCCCAAATAATTAATAGCGTATTTAAGATAATTTCAATATAACAGTAATTAATCAACCCATTTTGAGATCAATTATGCCAAAAACAATTAAGTTAAACAATGGTTAACTTAACTAATTAATACTGATAGCTTAAGCTCCTTTCACTAAAACTGCCCTATCTCAAGATATCCAACTCAGAATTAAGATATTTTTAATGCGTTAGAAACTAGACTCAATAAGCTTTCTAACAATATATGGCCCACCTCGTGATTCTTTGTAGATTAATAAGAATAACTTTGAAATCCACGTCATATGCTGCTATCATTCAGCATATATACCTTCTAATAAAAATTACGTATTTATTCATAAGAAACTCAAAATTCAGTTCTGCTTGTTTAGTTGGAAAGTAGACATAGTGACCTTTTCAAACATGATGGTTCAATATATAATTCCTTATATAAAAATTAAGAGGAATTTCGTAATCCTTCCTTGCTACTGCTATTTGGCAGCTTGCATATCCTTAAGTAAATATTAAACTAGTCTTCACATAAAAGTTGGAATTGACTCTTGTTTATTTCTTTGGGAAGTAAATTTAGCAAACTTTCCAATGATATATAATAATCACAGTAGTATTTTATCCTTTAATATGAAATATTATCCTAATTCATTACTGTAAACATCAAGGTTCATACGAAATAGAAATTTTCCTTTCTAACCCCATCAAATTTCTGTTTCTTATTTTTACAGCAACAAAATCACATTACCAAACTTTCTCAACACTTAATTAAACCCTAATCAAAGTTTAAATTATTTGTCAAAACTAATCTTGAAGTGGGAAAATGGATTTCCTAAAATTTTAGAGTTTCTCAATTACACATTATAAAGACTTAGCAATCAATATTATTTCTCCAAAATTGAAAAAAATTATTTACTCACATCTGACAAACAATTCTCTTTTTAGATTTTGTTCTAAGCCTTCAATTGAAATCTTTGATTTGTCTTTTTTATATAAGAAAAAGAGGAGAAATATGCCATTTTATTGTCTCGATTAGTCGTGACTAGTAGAATAAGTTAACCTTATTAAAAAAAATTAGGTTATTTATCAATATCTCCTATGCATTTTTCATTCTTTATTAAAGAGTCCCTCCACTTATAAAAAATACTTAAAATAGTCCCTTTTTTTATGAGTATTACATTCTCCCTAACTTATAAAAAGTTTCATCCTTAAAACTTGATTTACCTTCATTTTTTAATAATTGAGGATGTCATTTCTTCATATCATCTTTCATTTCCCAAGTTGTTTCTCTTGGTGTATGATTGATCCATTAGACTTTTATAAAAGGAATAGTTTTGTGCCATAAAACTTGCTCTTTCTGATCAACTATTCGAATAGGATATTCCAAGTATGTTAAATCCTCTTGAACTTCTAAAGGCTCATAATTTACCACATGACTTGGGTCAGAGACATATGTCCTCAACATGAATACATGAAAAATATTATGCACACCATATAGCTGAGGTGACAAGGTTATTCTATATTCAACTTCTCCCACCTTATCGAGAATTTTAAATGGTCTTATATAACGTGGGCTTAACTTTCTTCACTTCCCAAATCGTATAACACTTTTTGTGGGTGACACCTTTAAAAAGATATAATCCCTTTTATCGAAATTCTAACTCTTTCTCTACTTGTCTACCTAACTATTTTGACAATCTTATGCTGCTTTAAGTCTCTCCCTAATCACCTTGATCTTTTCCACAGTCAATTGCACCATTTTCGACCCTAAAAGTTTTCTTTCCTCAACATCATCCCAATATAAAGGAGATCTACATTTCTTATTGTACAAGGCTCTCAATGCTAGATTGGTAACTATTATTACAAGTGAACTCTGCTAAAGGTAAGTAATCATCCCAACTACCTTTTAGATCAATCACACATGCTGAAAGCATATATTTCAAAATTTGATTTGTTCTCTCCATTTGCCCATCCATCTGTATAATAACATAATTTGTATGAAATATGTATTTGAATGTGATTTATGATTTATAATTAAGAAATTAACATGTTTTGATGCATTTGTGAAGATTCATACCCAATCTGTGAGATATTCTCTACTTTGACTTGAAAGTCTCACGATTTTATCCTATAAAAGATGCCTTACAAGTTTGGGTTTAAATCTCTACATATATATCATTCCTTATCCATACATCTTTCAATGTAGGATTAGGGCATTACAATCTCTCCACCTTTAAAGCTTGATGCCTCTATCAAATCGAGTCTAACCACAAAACTAAGATCACACTAAACATTGGGATTCTAGAAGTGGCTTTCCACCGTGTAGCACTTAGTAACCCCACGATGCAACATTTAGTTCTTGCCACCGATTAGTAATCACTTTGATACCATTTGTAGAGACTCATACCTAATCTGCAAGGTATTGTCCACTTTGACCCGAAAGTCTCATGGTTTTATCCTACAAAAAGCTCTTCATAAGTTTGTATTTAAATCTCTACATATATATATATCATTATTTATCCACGCATTCTTTCAATATGAAATTAGGGGTGTTACACTACTATTAGTGGCAGATTCAAAATTTTTGCTTGATATGTGAATATTTATATCCAACTTTTGTTCGAAGTGTGCAAATTTGTATCTAATTTATGAGATATTATCCATTTTGAT